TCCCATCTGAATGTCCGCATGTCTTCCCGATGAAATGCTTGAACTTAGGGCATTGGAATGCCAATACGGGCGGTTCTGTCAATAATAAATCGATCTCATTGGTGAACTAATGACCAATCACTGCACTTGCATGAGATGTACTTAAGCGATCTCTGTCCTAAAATTTTTTGATCAAAGGCAAATTACTTGTTCCAGGTAGGTGAGAGGGACGTATTCCATCACTGATTACCTTGGTCACCTTGCAACGCGAACAATTGGTGACTTCAGCTAAAGGCTATCATAAGATCCGTATTAAATCAATTACGATAGGTACTAAGGGTTGTTAATAATCATTGCAGATACCGAAGGTGAATTTGTTAGATGCATAATACAACCCAAGGCTGTGACAATATTTGTGCAATTTCATAACCGACCTTGAGGTTGCTCGCCTAAAATTCCTAGTCCAGTTTAAGAAGGATTTTGACAGATTATAGAGAAAGGTTGCCTGAAAAAAAATTGAAAATTCTGATCCGCAACGCATTCAGCCTTGTTCGTTGCATTCACAGGTCCAAAATTTGAGCGGAAGAAACCAATTTCATTGCATCGATCAGCACGTCTGCGTGAGTTGTATTCAGGTTTGTTTGCGAATGTTCCAATCCCGTATGAGAGAACGTGGGTTCAATCGATTCGATCAAAATCGATTTTTTTAGAATTTGCTTACAGGGCACTTTGTAAGGTTCGATCACAGGAATACATTCTCTATCGTCTTTGTTCATCTTTTTCTTCGTAAACCATCGGCCCACATATGTGCATTTTAGAGATTTGAAAAAAAAACAATGGATTACTACGGGCCACAGATTTTAAGCAGAGGGCAAGCAGTGTTGAGATCAAACTTGAATTTTATCTTGAAGTGTTTTAAGCCTAAACTTTCTTGTTGTGGGCCCCAGCATGTGGTCTTGAACCACACCGGGGCCACTGTATTAACCCTGGCTCGATTACGTTTCCCTGATACCCGCGATGAGGAAGAAGACCGGAGAGGACGTGGACACAACCGTTTACTTCAGAGCTCAACTTCGTTGGTGTCGTTGTGTCGTGTGTGGGGCTTGCTCGCGTGTATTAATACCTCGGATGTGTGAGTCAAAGATGCACCAACATCGGGACCTAGGTATGATAATTCAGAATTATCGTTCGCGGTAATGAGGGGGGAGTTGAGGATCCGCGCGGCTGGCGACGTGCTGCGAAAAGGGGAACCCTGTGTCGGAGCCTGGAGCGACCGGATTAAGAAGCGTGAATAAACACGATTCACAACAGTCTTAGGTGTGACAATCTGGGTGTATTGGATGTTAAAACTAATCAATAAATTGCAGTCAAGTTTATTAACGATCTAACCTAAAACAGGTCCAGTGTGACGATTTATTTTAATTAAAATGCTTTAAATTGACACTTTACGAGGTGTCCATGTAGTGACGGGTACATTTAAGTTCATAAGGGGTGTAATGACGCCAATTTTCGTGGACCGATGCCTGGTCATGCGGAGAACACGTGACCCTTTGATTACAACTCCATTTCAGCTCCTCGACAAATTTACTTTCCTACACCCAATGCAGTTCCTTTCTTGGATTGACATCCACGAAAACCGACAACCTCGTTTCCAGGGACGCTGGTGTTTTTTTAGACTCCACAACGTTTTCACTTTGTTTAGTTTTCAAAAGGGAATAATCTTAATACCTCATAAACCGAAGCAAGGAAAACATATTAATGGAGTCGTGATTTACTCGCGAACACGAACAATGTGATAGCCCTCCCTGTCGGTATGGGGTTGCCGCCCAAGGTGATTCACCACGAAGGCACTGTTTGCAACAATTACACAGTCTTGCCTTCTCGTTCAAAGCACGCGATTGGGCCAAACCATTATGGCTAAACTCAACGTAATCCTGTGCACACTCAGCCACCGGACTTCTGATTGGTTAAGGCACAGGTCCGTCGGGGTGGCCTGGTCGCTACGTCTGACTAATTTCCTCTGCTTTAATTACATCACTTGAAATACCCAGTAGTACTGCAGCTCATTTTTCGGTGCAAATATTAATCGTGATGTACGATTAATAGTCAAAAATCAGTCGGTGTCTAAGAGCCAATAAGAATGCAAAAGTAAACTTTGGATGGCGCTCCCCCATTGGTTAGAATGTTAAATCTTCATGTTTGCATTTATGTCGACTACTAGAGCCCCATCATTGCATTCCAGATAAAATCTGTCAACATGAAGATGGTTTTCGCTAGGTTGCTGGCCTTCGAGTGGCATAAAATTGGCATAATATTTTAATAGCACTTGAATATGCTGGCTTATCCAAAGAACGCATCTTGCCCGCTGGCAATCTAATTTTTTTTATAATGCCGCAGCCAGTAAAACTAAGTGGTTGACTAAATTTGCAGATCCAGGCAGCTAGCAGTGACATTTTTTTATAGTTTAAACCACAAACCAACTGTGAAATTTAATTCTTAGGACTACCCTGGAGATCCACACCTACTATTGCCAACAAAGGTATATAATATACACACTCTGCGGCAGTCGTTGCTAAGGCAACGAAGAAACTAAATCAAAGGTTATGCTGTACAATGAAGCGCACTTTGCATAATAGGCTTTTTTTGTTTGTTGCGGAAATCACCTTTAAAAAGTGCAAGTCTCGTATTTTAAACAAATGCAAAAGTGGTGTACATTAAGCCAACTATGTAGATATTTTAACAAAGCCGTTGGGAAATTAATCATTATTTCACCCTAATATCGCAGATTATTGGCTGCGTTTGACAACGTGGTTGTTTAAAAAAAGAACAATTTGACTTCGCGCCAAATTTCAAATATGGGGTTGAGAAGTAAATTTTGGTACGTAAATCACTGGACCTAATTAAAATTATTTGACTTCCTGTCGGCGAAAGCGACCTTGTATCCGTTTGCCTCTGCGCATTGTGTCGTAACAGAGTGTGCGGTTTCAATATTTTTTAAAAATAAATTTTGACTACTTGTGTGGCATTTTTGAGTTAGACATGATTTATGCTGCAGAAGAAATGCCTAATCGAGGTGAAATGTTGGAGTTAAAATGATGAAGCTTTTGCAATGTCATCCACTTCTCACTGCTCAGTCATACACCAAGGTCACGACATGTTGATCCCTCTTCGTAAATTATGAGAGCTGCCAAAACGACTTTACCCGGTTTAATGGGTGAAAGGTAAAAGATTCTTTTAACAATTTAGCAATTTAAAAACGGAATTCTTGATCCCTATCGTTTTCATCATGATCATCATCATCATTATTATTCATAACTTGTGAGGGCTGAAACCTCGCGACTCGTGGACGCGTTCTCACACGAGAGCCTTGGCAATAAAATTAGAACTGGAAGCCGCGTCGCCTATCTTCAAAGGGACCAATCAGTATTCACTCTGGTCCATTAAATGCGAATTTTCAAAATGGCACGTCCTAACATAACAACAACTCAAATTCTCCCAGTTAAAGCAATTTTAACCGCAAAAATCTGGTCGCTATTCATTTCTTTTATTCATTAAAATATTTTTGCCTGAATAAATTACTCCATGTTTGGAAAATGTTTACCAAATTTCTGCTGCATCCAAGTCCGGGAATTAATTTTTGCCACTTAAAATTCGAATTTACTGATGGTTGGATGGATTCCCATTGGTTGATTGCACCCAAATTTCACAGATTGCAAAATCATAAACTTTCGACTGTGCAGACGTTTCCTGTGTTCTTGCTTTTACGATAGGCAATGAGACTACGAGTTGACAATTCATCTGAATATCACCATTAGGATGCACTTCGAGGTTCGGTTTGTGGATTACACACGTTTCGACATGGGGGAACGAACTGAACTGTGTTTCCATGGACACCTCTCTCTCTTTCTCTCCTCTTTCTTGGATTAAGTCGGAGCTGTAGATGAAACCCCGCTAGCGACAATCACCGTAATGCGTAAAAGAAGCTGAATGCTTAGAGGGGAAAGAGCAGGACCCATGGCAACGGCTAAATTACCGCATCCAATGACAAAGTTATTAAGCACCTAGTAAAGGACTACAAAAAATCATTTTTTTACTAGCTTCTGTCCACTTTTGCACACTATTACAGCATCTTGCGTAAATTGAATGAGATGTTTGACATCGCTAGACGAAGGTCTCAGTTAGAGACAGTATTCTATCATCTCC